CTCTGACCCCTCACTCCATTTTCAGACTGACCCTTGATTTCGGTCACAAAGTGATCCCCTGACCCTGCCACTGACTGACCCTTAACAGGAGAAATAACCAGAGAACAATTAAATGCTAAACTCGGAGTGAAACCGGATATCAGAGATAAGAAGAGTCTGGCGGAGTTGGGAGGGAGATCGGGCGGAGGGCGGAATCTTCCCGGAGGACCCCGGTGGGCTGGGGGCCCGCACTCGGAAGGTCGGAGAGGCCTCGTGCGGGGCACGTCGCAGGCGCTCGAGGAATGCAAGTTGCCTGAAAAGAATGAAGGAAGGAAGGAACGGGGTGCGATCAGGGCGGCCGCCCGGCCGGGGCAAAACTGCCGAGGCAGGAAGCGTGGTGGGGGCGCGTCGAGGCCGTCGCGGTCCGAGCGCAGCTGGGGGCAGCGGGAGAGCGATCGGGTCAGCAGCTCGGCTGGGTGGGGGTGGCCCGGCACCCCGCCCCCAAAGCCGGGAGGCTGGGAACCGGGAGGCCGCGCTGCTGGCAGAGCGGCAGGGGCGCCGCGAGGCTCCGGATGGGCTGGGAGCCCCGCCCGCAGGCTGCGGAGGGAGCCGGAGCCAGAGCGGAGCCAGAGCTCAGACATCCGGGCGCCAGCGAACACCTGCGACCGGCCCCCAGGGCCCGCGGGGGGGGAGAGCGGGTCGCCGGGCCGGGGGCGGGGCCGGGGCGGGGCTATCTTGGTCCCGCCCAGTCGGGCTCCGGGCCACGTGGGCCGAGGCCCCGCCCCTGCCCCGGCCTCCTGAAGCCTTGGCTGGGAGCAGAGCGCCAGAGGCAGTTCTGCAAGAGCGAAGCGAGGATTTGGGATGTAGCCCCGGGAGTGAGACGAGTGCCAGCCAGCAGTGAGAGATGATGAGGTCGAAAGACAGCCACTGGCGGTTGTCCGGCACATCCACAGGAGAGCTGTCACTGGTCTTCTCGGACAGGGCACAGTCTCTGCTTTCTCACACGCATGAATTTGAATCCTTGCTTTGTCACTTAGGAGCTGTGTGGCCCCGGGCAAGTTACTTCATCTGTTCTGAACCTGTTGTTTTTTGCTTTTTTTACAAAGTAAAAATCCCTTCCCAAAGTCCGTTTTTCAGAGCTGATGCAATAGTGAACTGTTAAGACTCAGTTAATGGAGAATCTTGCATTTTCAGGGAGGCTGGTAGATGCTTTATGCATCTTTAATCCGAAGCACAGACCTGCAAAGGAGGCACCATCATCCTCTTTTCACAAATGAGAGGGAGACCTGGGGTGGGCCTAGGTCTTTCATTCAACAAGCCCCTACTGGGGACCAAATATGTGCCAGGGGAAGGGAATGGAGAGGGGAAAAATTGAACTTGGACTTTGGAGCTAGGTGTTGCTGGATGCTGCCTTGCTGTGGCCCTTCCTTGCTATGTGACCTGGATCAAGTTATTCAGCCTCTCTGAATCTGTTTCATGGGACTAATGATACGTGGCTGGGTGGTGGTGAGGATTAGAAAAATGTTAAGATGAAATAGAGCCTGGCACCTGGTAGGCATTTGATAGGTGTTTATGACACAAGACAACTCTCCTCTCTCAGAGTTTTCTGACCTAGGGCCAAATTGCTTTCACTCTCTAATGACTAATGAACTGGTGTGCTGGTTCCAGCTTTTGTCCCTGCCACCTGAGCAGCTCAGTCTCCGAGGACCTTACAGGCAATTTCCTTGGAATTAGCTTAATAATACCTCGTAGGTGTGTGATGCATTTCAAAGAACTTTCCCACCATTATCTTCTGTCCTGGGAGGCAGCAATGCAAGAAGCACCAGCTGCCGCACAAGGGAGAAGAGAGGCTTGGAGAGGTGAGGTGGCTGGCTCAAAGTCACAGGGCAGATGAGCCATCCAGCACTTCCTCGCCTTTCAGTCCCGCAACTTCCGAGCAGGAAGCGGCATGCTGTGGCAGAAAGGGCACACAGGGCGTTGAGTTCAGTGCCTGGCTTTGCTGCAATTAATGGTTTAATGTGGGGCCAGGTGCCTCAGAACTGTATCAAGAGCAGCAGTCTCGCACAGGTGTGGACACTGAGGCTCAATAGAAACAGTCCCTGGCTTGCAGTCAAACAGCTAGTACGCTGTTTGCACCTTTGTGTGGCTGACTTCAGAGTCAGCCACAGGACACCTAATGAATGATCCCAGGTAGACCCAGCCTGGGTCTTGTACTTACTGGGTTTGAAGCAAAAATTCCTCACATGGGGACTGAGGGCTCTCCCCAGGGCATTGGAGGTTTGCTTGGCCATGCATGCATCCTCAGTCGTGTCCATCTCTTTGTGACCCCATGGACTGTAGCCAACCAGACCCCTCTGTCCGTGGAATTCCCCAAGCAATAATATTGGAGTGGGTCGCCATTCTTTCTCGAGGGAATCTTCCTGACGCAGGGATTTAATTTATGTCTCCTGTATTGGCAGGCAGATTCTTTACCACTGAACCATCTGGGAAGCCCTATGGCTTTGGCAAAATGGTGTGTGCGTGTGGATTTTCTGAAGAGTATTCATACCTTTCACCAGATCACTGGAGGAGACCAGGAAACAGGTTAAGAACACTGGTCCATCAGGAGGGTGGTTCACAAAGTTTGCCTCCCCATCACATGCCCCTGTTCACCCTTGCAAATTCACCGGGGTTAAGGCATGAAAGGTGGGTGATGACGTGACCTGTTTGTTATGAAATACTGAAGTAACTAACGCCAGGTGCCAACACATGAATGAGATCATATAAACAGGAATCTAGTAAGACCAGGCGCCTGGTGGAACCCACCTGGGGAACTGCCAGATCGAGGTGGGGGGGGGAAGCAAAGGAAGATGGCATGGATTGGGAGTCCTGCCCTCTGCCTGACTCTCAAGCCTGGCCCCATGGAATAGCCAGTCTCAGATCCTGCTCCTTTCCATTATAGTCATGGTCGCTTTTGTTCAGTCACCAAGTTGTGTCCGACTCTTCATGACCCCATGGACTGTAACACACCAGGCTTCCCTGTCCATGGTCACTGTAGTTAAGTTTAAAATCCCATTTCTGCCTCTCGAGGGACTGTGTGAACCTGACTCCAACTCATTATCCACTGAGCCTCAATTTCTCCCATTTCTGAAATAGGGCTAAAGATGCTTACAGAGGAGACTCCCACTGGAGATGCTATTGGAAGGATACACCAGGAATGAGACTCCCACTTGATGTTGTTGGAAGGATATACCAGGAATGAAGGCTGTAGTGCCCTCTTCCTCTAACTCCTAGTCTAGGCTTAGTCTTCAAGTACCTGGTGGTAGAATTTATTCCCCTATTTCCAAACCAGCACCGAAGCCCTTCTGATCAGAGTGGTTGAAGATTTGAGGGAAGAGACCCTCTCCTATTTTCCCCAACTTTGGAAGCCCAAGAGGAAATAAACCAGAGAATGTGAGGCGGGAAGTAAACCAAGCCCAATGATCCATTTATTCATCTCTGAAATGGATCTATCAGCACCATGCCTGCCTGGCAGGTGAGGGTCCTATTTCACATCCCGTGCTAGAGAAACGTCATGATTAATGGCATTAATGAGGACCGCCATCTGCTAGTTAGCAACACAGCTCTCAAACGACCTAAGAACTGGGACTCAGGAGAGATTTCTATCCTAGGCCCCCAACTTGCTGGGTGAGCTCCTTCCAGTCCCTCCCTCTCTCCAGTCTTCCCTCACTTGTAAAGTGAGGCAGGCAAGGCTCTTCTCTGCACCCTATGTGTGTGGGGCTCCCCCATGAGCCCTTTCTACTTCCCCCTCTTCCCCAGGCTTAGCTGGACATTCTCCCATCTCCCTTTTAAGGGAATAAGCAAGTTTATTTTTCCTAAGTTCCAAGAAAGACATGAATTTATTCTCCCTAAATCCAGCTTTGTGAGAAACAGTGTTAGTACTTAAAGGAATCAAATTATAAACACAAGTGTTTAAAAACCGTTTATTATGCAAAATGTTAACTTTTATAAAAAGTTTAATATACATCGCATGGTTACAGAAAGTCACCTTCCTGCAAAAAAGGTACAAAAGCTAAATACTCTATTATAGAGTTCATAATCAGGGCAACAGAGTCTTTCTCCAAGGAGACCAGAAGACCAGCTCTACCGCTGCCTTGGCCAAGGCAGAATTTGGAGAACAGCCAGCCCCCACCCCCAACCCCGTACACCTCCACACATTGAAAGAGTCTTTAAAACTTGGGAGTGGGGAGGGCTGGGGGAGGTTGCCCAGCTGGTGCCCAGAGCTAGCGCTGGCTCTTTAGGCCACCCAAGTTCACAGTCCTTCGCTCCCGGGCGCAGGTCCAGCCTCGAGGCAGGGGTTTGGGGAAGTCAAGTGGGCAGGGCAAGGTTGAGGCCCATCCATGCCCTCGGGCTTCCGGCCGTAGAGGGTCCCGGGGTCCCGGACGGGCGCCAGCACCTGCGTTCTGGGCGGGGGAGGAAAGAAGACCAGGGAGCCGTCAGTTTCCGCCGAGCGCGCCGAAGCGGGGGCCGTCCGCAGACTGGCCGGCGCCAGGGAGGAAACTTGGTCTCTACCTCCAGCTGATAACTCCGCGCCCCACACTGCCCCCACCCAGTTGGTGCCGAAGGACCACAGGCGGAGCTTGCACCACCCCTCCCTCTTGGAAGTGACACTACTTGGGAGGGGGCTGAGGAAAACGCGGCTCCTTTTACGACTCCAAGCCACAAACAGACTGGTTATTTTATTTAGTCGGAACTGCGTCTAGTTTCGCGTCTTTGGCCAATGGGGGAAGACCGTAACAACGTGCACTTTAGGTTGAAACGAACTCTGGATCGGAATTGGTTCCGTCATTCATTTGATGTGACCACAGGCAAGTCACTTGCGTCTCTCTGGCCTGAATTTCCCTAAACCGAGGGGGCCGCGGCAATCCTTTAAAAGGCCTACCAACTTTAAGATCTGCCGTTTAAGCACCAGCCGTCCCCCTTCCCCGCCCCCGAGAGATTCGGCTTGGATAACTCACCTGGAGGCGCCAGGACGGGCCAGGTCAGTGGCAGAAGCTCCTTTGGTCATTGGAGATCACAAGTTCCGGAGCGAGCTCGGCTGTCTGAGAGAAGGAAAAGGGGGGTAGGGCTTACGCACGGAGTTTGGAAGGTCCAGGGGTCCCCGTAGCATCCCAGCCCGGGAGCTCAGCCCCGCCCCAGCTCCCGAGCACGCCCGCGCGCACCTGGATGGGAAGATGCGGGCCGTCTGGGGGCCCAGGAGCCGGCTCGGCCAGGACCACCTGCAGGTCGAGGATGTAGTCGATGACGCGCTGCAGGATTTCCACCTGGCTAAGCTGAGTGCCTCGCGGGACTCCGGGTACCAGTTCCCTCAGCCGCGAGTAGCAGTGGTTCATGTCGGCAAGCAGGCTCAGCGGCTCCTCGGCGGCCGGGCTCTTGCCACGGCCCCGCGCGATGGCCAGGCTGCGTTCCGACAGGCAGCACACCGCCTCGTAGCAGCCGCGCACCGGGCTGAGCGCCTTCATACTGAGAAATGAGGTTGGGAAGTGCTGGAAGGAAGGAGAAAGCCAGAGACCCTCTAGAGCAGCCTGCAACGCGCGCACGCTCTCCGAAGTCTGCACTTATAGAGTCGGCCTGGAGGGCACGCCCCCTTATGCAAAACAGCCCGCCTTGGCCCCGCCTCCGCCAACCCGGGGCGTTCACAACCCGGGTAAATTGCAAACAGGCTTCCTCTGGCCGGTCTGACGCCGAATACCGCGGAGTCGCGGATTCAAAGAATGAGGAAGCGCTGATACTGGGGAGAGGCGGGCCTCTTTGCCAGCAAGGATTTAAAAAAATCACTTAAAACCATTAACTTTTAAAATTTGCCTGTTCTTGGCAGCGCCCCATATCTTCGAGCTCCCCTGCCCCCTTGCCAGTCCACCTACAGCTCAATACTGGTTCGAACCCATAGTCCTCCGAGGTCATAAATCCCTGAACAGCAAAGCTTTTTTTTTTTTTTTTTTTTTTAAGCAAAAGATTTTTCAAGGGAAACTTGTAAGGAATTAGTGCCGCCTTGTTCCCCAATTTGCTGTTCGTCTGACCTCCAGACTCACTGGCGTCAGGAATTATCTTGTGACCAGAGGGGGGAAAAATTAATTGCGGTGAAGCTGAGGTTACAATGAAGAAAACAGATTTGGGCTAGGCGCTGAGATTGCAGAAGGAGGAGGGGAAGGGGGTTTGAGCAAAGAACACTGTTTGAGCAACAGGGAGAAAGAAAAAAAAGGGGGGGGCTTGAATTGTGCTTTTTGCATGGGGAAGAAAAAGCGCTCCCACCCGCTGGCCTCATGCATTCCAAAAGGAGCCAAATATATGCCCAGTTATGTTTTGGAAGTGAGTTTGATTAGAATTTTGAACAGGGTTTTGAATATGGGGTACAGACGGGCTGATTTCTAGATAATCTTTTTAGGAGCTCCCTTTGGGTCAGTTAATATTTTTTAAACTCTCCCTTCTCCCTCCCCCCAACGCCACATTCTCCACACACCTCTATGCAGAAAACAATAGTTTGGTAATTTCATCACTCTATTGTCTGTCTCTTTCTGCTGTGGAAGGGCAAGCCACCTGGACTTGATTATTCTTAGCCTTGCTGAAATGGCTCCAGCTCTATCTGAGAGCCCCCAAGAAAGGAACTGGGGGACAGGCGAGTAAGCCCCATATTGCAATGGGACACTGCATTCTTTGCTTGTCTTCTTGTCATTTCCAAGGGTTTTGGGGAAAGTGCAGCCTCTGAATGCTGGTTTCTGTCTTGGGGTCTTGGGAGTGACCAGGTGGGATCCCTCAATGGTTGCTTCCCTAATCAATCAGTTGATGAATATTTATGGAGTTGCTTTCCTTAAAACAGTGACTTCTGCTCTCAAGGATCCCAGAATTTGGAGAGACAAAATTAACACCGGAAACAATTAAGAGTTCTATACTGTGTGGCACTGATTAACAGGACAATGGGAGCTCAGAGCTAGGACAATCTCAAAAGAGTCCTAGTGAAACAGGACACTAGACTGGGAGTTAGGAGTCCTGGATTCAACTTCCCAGCCTTGCCAATAATCTGTCCTATGATCGTGGACAAGCTCAGGTACCCTGGCCTTGGTTCCTTGTGAATAAAGTGGGGAAATGGCACTAAGTGGTTATTTGAAATCCTTTCCAACTCTAGAAGTCTGATGCTTTATGAAATTTGGACAGGCAGGTGTGGGATAGTAAAGGGTCCAGAAAGGAGTTATAAGATGTTTCCAAGGTCACACCACAAGTAATAGCAGAGCCAACCCCAAAGTCTTTTTTTTTTTTTTTTTGCTGTCATACCACAGGAATCTGTGTCCCAAGTAAAAGGTCTTCAAAAGATTTCTTCCTGAAATATGGATGTTTTCAAGGACAGTCTCTTTACTATAAGAGGATGAAAATATCCTGTGAATGGACAGATCAGCCTATATATGCTACAGAAGTCAACTGGAGAGCCTGTCAGCTATTTGGTCTCAGGAAAGGAATATGGTGACTATGAGGACTCCTGCATGACCAAAAAGAAAACCTTTTCCTTTTCTGTCATGCAGGCCTCCATGGTTTGTGCGAAATAGTCAAGCCCAGGTTCTGGAAAAAATCATGGCCTTCGGGGCTAGGCATTTTTATGTTCAAATTTCCATTCTTTTTTAGTAAACCTGTGAGTTTTGGGTAAGTCACGTCTCTGTGCCTCAATTTTCCAATTTATAAAATGGAGCTAACTAGATCTACCTCCTTCCTTCCACAAATAATTATTAAATGTCTCTTCTCTGCAAGGCGCTTAACATACTGACTCCCATCACGTCCATTAGTCTCCTTGGTGCCTGAGGACTGGTTGAGTGGATGTGAGGGCAAGTGACTGCTGAGTGCGTGTGTCTGGTTGAGTGGTCCGTGCTTAGTCCACAGGTCCACGAAGATTCGGGAGAAGGCAATGGCAACCCACTCCAGTACTCTTGCCTGAAGAATCCCAGGGACGGGGGAGCCTGGTGGGCTGCCGTCTATGGGGTCGCAGAGAGTCAGACACGACTGAAGCGACGTAGCAGCAGGCACATAGATCCCCCCTCTTTTCCCTCCTCCATCACTACCGCTGATGTCGGGCTTGTACAGAAGTTTGCAACGCACTTTCGCGGTATCTCTGAAGATGCTTTCAGGCTAAAATGCCCAGGAGCTGGGCGACACAGGCAGGAAAGAGATGCAGTGGGATTAGCAAGCAGAATTCTTTCCTGGTCATGTCAATAACTTGCAATGTGGCCTTGGAAGAATTTCCTTCCTTCCTGGGCTTCATTTTTTGTAAAATTGGGGGCGGGGGGAGCAAATGACCTCTAAGGGTACTCTCCAATGTAAGATGCTAATTCTGAAAGAAATGGGTTACGGTTGAGAACACTGGATAAAGTTTGAACCCAAAAGACTTCTTTTTCCCAACAGCGGACTGAAGGGCTAGCTCAGGCCTTCTGCAACTTGTTTAGCGGTGGTGGGGCCTCAGTCTCTTATTCCAAATGCCTCTGAACTTTCTGTTCCCAGTTCTGCTCCTTTTACCAGCTTTTTCCCCCCTCTTGCATTTTTTATTTTTATGAAAGGATGTCATTAAGGCTTTTGTCTGCGCTGTTTTTGTTTCAGAACTTTTCTCACAATCCTATTTTTTGTTGAGGAATCCGCTCCTTTGCCCAGCTGTGGGTCCCGGTCCCACAGCTGTGTTGATCTAAGACTCAGCCCCAGACAGCCTGGCGCCAGGGTGGGACGTCATGCGTTCACACAGGGATGCGTGTCCCAGGCAACCTTTCCTCGGGCAGTCACCGGCCGGCGACTGCCGCCCCCACCAATGAGCGTCCGACACCCGAGAAAGGGGCGGAGTCTGCGCCGCCCCGACTCACAAGCGGCTTGTGAATTGCAGATGCTGCGAACTTGATAACATTCCTTGAATTGGGGCCCTTTAATGGCTCCCACCCCCCCACCTTCTATCTCTTTTAGTTCTTTTCTTTCTTTCGTTGATTCTCTTTCTTCCCACCTTCGTCCTTTACTACATGGGTTTAATAAGTTTTCGTCGTCTTCTTTTTTTAACTGTCTCCCCCCAGTGTCAGGAATCATTTTGCAAGCATTTCCAGGAACTGAATCTTCCTTTGCCAAAATTTAAAAAAAAAAGAAAAAAAAAAGTCAGTGTTGTGCTCTCTGATTTTTTCTTTTTAAGAGTTGGCAGAACTGTTAAGTTATACTGTTTTGTCTTTAAATTTTTAAAAAGTGGTGGGGGGTCTCTGAGCTGTCGATTTCAAAGCCAAAGTAATGATGATGAGAATTGCAGATGTCTTTTTGCCTAAACTGAGCTTCTGTCTACCTTTCTATTTTGTGCTTTTAATGTCAAAAGTGGGGACCAAGAGAACTTCTGAATCTTGCCCAAAGTTATTCTGGGCAAGATATCAGTTGCTGACCTGTAGCCAGGACACAGACCTACCCCTCTTGTGGCTCCTTGTCCACTCTGCCCTCTAAATCTCTTTTGAATTAGGGTAGTCTGCTGTCTTAGGGATACATTAGGGATCTCAGGACATCCCCAGATGCTGCATTTCCTAATATGTACCTGTTTGACTTCCCCGGTGCCTCAGACAGTAAAGAATCTGCCTGCAGTGCAGGAGACCCTTGGTTCATTCCCGGGGTCTCGAAGATCCCCTGGAGAAGCGAATGGCAACTCACTCCAGTATTCTTGCCTGGAGAATTCCATGGACAGAGGAGCCTGATAGGCTACAGTCTATGGAGTCACAGAGAATCGGACACGACCGAGTGACTAACACACGCACACCTGTCTGCTCACAAAGTACCTGTAAGAGTGTGAGGAGGATTTCCTAGCCACACACTTAGAACATACTCCTCCCCCTCCCCCAGCAAGGCTAGACCTCAAACTACAGCTTGAGACTCTTGTGAAACAAGATCACAGGGAATGCACGTTCAAAGCCAGGCTCAAACCCTTGGATAGACTACCTAGCCTGCCTCTGCCTCAGTTGTCTCCTCTGTAAAATGGGGAGAAATACCCACCCACTTAACAGCTGGGAGGATCAAGGGGACAAGGGATAGAAAGTGCCACAGGAGTCAATCAGTTATTGTCATGTGCTGTGATGTGATATAGCCCCTGGTGAGTGAGGTAGGTGGTTTCAAGAAGCTTAATGGTTCCTGCTGAGACTGTTCTCAGGAACAGGAACGTGGGCAACACTGAGAAGGGGACTCTGGGGAGCACCTGGATCTCAGGCATGAGTCCTTATAGGAATGTGGATGTCTAGGGGCCTCCAAGATGGGCTCCTTAACGGTTCAGAAGCACTTGGTCCCGTCATCATCATCATCATCGTCGTCGTTCTTCATTGAATCTTAACTATTTGCCAAGTCCTGCTTGCCTTATGCATTATCTCATTGATCCATTCTGTGTACCAGCAGACTGAGGCTCAGGGAAGTTAATATACTTGCCTAGGGTTACATGGCTAATAAGCTACAGATCCAAATCTTGCACCCAGGTACCTGTTTT